GGGAAACAGAGAATTTGTTGCCAGTAAGAGTGCCCTTTAAGAATGCTAAAGAGGTCCACTGCACAAAAAGAATGGTAACAGAACAAGGGATGGAAATTTAGAGGTAAAAGTTAGCTAGGATGATGAAAATATTCTAGAATCAGATTTCAGGGTCGATGCAGAAATCATAACCCCGTCTGGCGTAGTCCTCACTCCACGGAGATGGAAACACTGAATGAGGGCAATTCTACGTACAGAGTGGGACAGGACCTAACTGGAAGTAACTCTTCTATACGTCACTGGATCCCCGCGGCCTGTGGTTAATTATATGTGGACATTGCAGCACAAGAAAACTCTGTGTTGCATATCTTACTCAACACACTTATTTTCAGTCTTTGTATGAAGATCTTCAACAGCTTCATGGAAAATACGTATCATGAAAATGAAACGTGCATGGATTTCCAGTTTTTGTACAGAAATAAACTCATGTTTCCATTCCATTTTCCGCAAACATTTCCAAGTCCCTCCACCCTTTTTATAGACAGTGCTTCTCTTACGAACAGTAAACAGTGGGGTCAAGCCTTTCTGTACGCCCTGGCCACGTCACACCTCGTGAGACTGCTCAGCTCGTCAGCGTCGATGTTGGGGCTTCCATTTCACATCGGTGTTCTGTGCGTCCCCTCTGGGTTTTTGGTCATCTCTGTTGCTCTGTTCCTTCTCTTTTGCCTTCCTCTTCATTTTATTGTCATTTGATTGTACCTTCTAGGGATTGCTTCATTCATATCCTTATCTTTTGACAACCCTCTTAGTGTGGAATGATTTTAAACTATAGAGAGCTCATAAATATTTATGTTTCCATAGGATTATGTGTTTCTCTTTTTTTTTTTAAAAAAAAGGGGGGTATATTTATTTATTTGAGAGGCAGAGTTATAGTCAGAGAGAGGGAAAGACAGAGAGAAAGGTCTTCCTTCCGCTGGTTCACTCCCCAGATGGCTGCAACTTCTGAAGCCAAGCCAATCCAAAAGCAGAAGCCAGGAGCTTCATCCAGGTCTCCCACTTGGGTGCAGGGGCCCAAGCACTTGGGCCATCTTCTGCTGCTTTCCCAGGTACATTAGCAGGGAGCTGGATTGGAAGAGGAGCAGCCAGGACAGGGACTGGTGCCCATAGGGGATGCTGGCACAGCAGGTGGAGGCTTAACCCACTACGCCACAGCTCCGGCCTGATTTCTCCCTTCTTCACATTAGAGTTATTGTGAGTATTATATTTATGCCAGTGTTATACTTCTTGCTCTAACCAGTCTTATATGTTTGAAAGAGATTCAGACAAAACTTTTCTTATCTTTGTACCACATTCTTGATCATTGCTGTCGCTCTTATTCCTTCCCGAGAATCGGAGCTTCTGTCGGGCCAGTAGTCTCAGGTCCGGGAGCTTCCCCTTGCTTGGTTGTCAGTGAGGTCTGGTGGCGACGCCGTTCCGTTTCCCTTCACCGAAATACTCTCTCCGTCTTCCGCCTTCCGTCTTGGAAGATAGTTTTCCTTGGCATAGGATTTTGAGTCAACGACATTTTGAGGCTCTTTCTGCACTCAGGAGATCCTGTCTTGCTCTCCCTGAGCCTTCATTCAACATCAAATTTCGGGGCATGGCCTTGTGGCACAGTGGGTTGAGCCACCGCTCAGTTACGCCGCATCCCATACGGGAGTGCAGGTTCGAGCACTGGCTACTCGGATTCCTATCCAGGTTCCTGCTTACGTGCCTGGGAAGGCAGCAGCAAGTGGCCTAAGTATTTGAGCTCCTGCACCCCTGTGGGAGACAAAGAAGGAATTCCTGGCTTTGGCCTGGCCTGGTTCCGGCTTTGAGACTGGGGAGTGAGCCAGTAGATGGAAGCACACTCTCTCTCTCTCTCTCTCTCTCTCTCTCTCTCTCTCTGTGTGTGTGTGTGTGTGTGTGTGTGTTTCCCACATCCCTCTGCTTTGCAAGTAAGTACAAATAAATAAACATTTTTTCAATAAACAAAAACAGACTCTATTTTTTAAGAGCAACTTAAGGACACAGCAGGACTGAGACGATAAGGGAGACTCCTCACCCTTCTCCCGCCCTTGCTTCTTCCCGCTTCGCTCACTCATTCTTCGGTCTCAGCCGAAACGCCACGGCCCCCAGGGTCCTCTCCTGACCGGGCGTTGGAGTTGTCCTGCCTGTCCAGGCCTGTCTGCAGCGCCGGTTTCACTGAGCACTATACATACACGCAGTACCTAGCACAGGGCCTGGCATACAGCATGCAGTCAACAGGCGCTTCTCCAAGGAGCAAGAGGCGGTGAGGAGTCATTTCTACCAAGTTCTTGCAGCAGAGTGGAGAAAATGACTTCAGACCCCCGGACGGAGCTTGACTGCAGTGTGAGCCTGGAGTCAGCCCACTGGAGCCCAACCCCTCAGTAGTCAGCACCCCACCCCCACCCCCACCCCGGGCACAGAGTGCTCTGTGTTGAGTCCTGCTGTGTGGATCGGTGAGCGGGAGCTTGGAAAACCCATTGCAGTTGTGGCTCAGGTTCCAGCGAGGCGAATGGTTAGATGTACTGCCCATCACTGGTTAACTGCAAATAGGATCTGGCATGATTAGGATCACTGCCATTGTTTATCAGCTCATGTTATAAAAATATTAATATTATTGAAGCATGTGTATGTAATACTTTTTTGTGCAATGCCTTCTACAACTGGAAATTAGAATTGACTTTTAGGCCGGCACCATGGCTCACTTGGCTAATCCTCCACCTGCGGCGCCAGCACCCCAGGTTCTAGTCCCGGTCGGGGTGCTGGATTCTGTCCCAGTTGCTCCTCTTCCAGGCCAGCTCTCTGCTGTGGCCCGGGAAGGCAGTGGAGGATGGCCCAAGTGCTTGGGCCCTGCACCCCATGGGAGATCAGGAGGAAGCACCTGGCTCCAGGCTTCAGATTGGCACAGTACTGGCCATGGTGGCTATTTGGGGAGTGAACCAATGGAAGGAAGACCTTTCTGTCTCTCTGTCTCTCTCTCACTGTCTAACTTTGCCTGTCAAAAAAAAAAAAAAAAAAGAATTGACTTTTAAAGTAAAATTTCAATAACTTAGTGAAGTTTGGCTATTGAAGTTTGTTAAATTTCTCAAATAAGGCCTGGGATTTTTAGCTGTTATAATAATGTATAAAGCACATGATCACCTCATGAACAAATAATGCATATTTCCCTATAATCTCTGTTGCACTTCAAAAGGCTGATGAAAAAGTGGAATTGAAAGGTAAACTTATTTTGGTGAAAAAATATTGATATCCATGCATAGTGGTTTTTTTTTTTTTAAGGTTTATTTATTTATTTGAGAGGCAGAGTTATAGACAGAGAGAGGGAGAGACAGAGAGAAAGGTCTTCCGTATACCTGTTTAGTCCCCAAATGGCTGCAGTGGCCAGGGCTGAGCCGACTCAAAGCCAGGAGCCAGGAGCTTCCTCCGGGCCTCCCACATGGGTGCAGGGGTCCAAGGACTTGAGCCATCCTCCACTCCTTTCCCAGGCCATAGCAGAGAGCTGGATCAGAAGTTGAGCAGCTGGGACTTGAACCGGTGCCCACATGGGATGCCGGCACTACAGGTGGCAGCTTTACCCACTACGCCACAGCACCAGCCTCCATGCACTGTATTTTCATAATGTACATTTTCTGTTGTCTTTTTGGAGCTCCCTGGTACTTATGTAAATAAATAACTGTAATGACTTTAGACGTTTAGAATTTCATGTATTTCTGTCCATTTTTTTTTAAGAATTATTTTATTCACTTGAAAGAGTTACAGAGAGAAAGGTAGAGCCAAAGAGAGAGAGAAAGAGAGGTCTTCCATTCCACTGGTTCACTCCCCAAATGCCCGCAATGGCCAGAGCTGAGCTGAGCTGAAGCCAGGAGCCAGGAGCTTCCTCTGGGTCTCCCACGTGGGTGCAGGGGCCCAAGGACTTGAGCCATCTACTACTGCTTTCCCAGGGCACAGCAGAGAGCTGGATCGGAAGAGGAGCAGCCGGGACTAGAACCGGTGCCCATGTGGGATGCCAGTGCTGCAGGCTGGCACTTTAACCTGCTGTGCCTCAGCGCTGGCTCTGTATTCACTTCTGTTTCAGTGTTTTTCTGGATAAATTTATTTTCCATTCAAATTCACATTCAGCATCATAACAGATATTCCCACAAGGGTTTAACAATCAAAAAATGTTTTAAAAGATGTATTTATTTATTTACTTGTTTCAAAGGCAGAGTGACAGAGATCTTCCATCCACTGGTTTAATCCCCTAATGGCCACCCAGCCATGTCTGGGCCAGGCTAACGTCAGGAGCTAGGAACTCCATCTGAGTCTCCCATGTGGGTGCAGGGACCCAAGTACTTAGACCCTCTGCTGCCGCTTTCCCAGGTGCATTAGTAGGAAGCTGGATAGGAAGTGGAGTAGCTGAGACTTGAACCAGCGCTCACATATGGGATGCCAGTGTTACAATGGTGACTTAACCCGTTACACCACAACACAGGCCCCAATCAAATGGTTTAACATACTCGTGTTTCATGACTTAAGGAAGTTTTGCTAAAACAATAACAAACCGTGTGGCTGGTGCTGTGGCGTAGCAGGTAAAGTTGCCGCCTGGAGTGCCGGCATCCCATATGGGCGTCAGTTCGAGATCCATCTGCTCCTCTTCTGATCCAGCTCTCTGCTACGGCCTGGGAAAGCAGTAGAAGATGGCCCAAGTCCTTGGGGCCCTGCACCCATGTGGGAGACCCGGAAGAAGCTCCTGGCTCCTGGCTTTGGATCAGCCCAGCTCTGGCCATTGCGGCCATCTGGGGAGTGAACCATCAGACGGAAGACCTCTCTCTCCCTCCCTCTCTCCCTCTCTCTCTCCTTCTGCCTCTCTGTAACTCTGCCTTTCAAATAAATAAATAAATCTTTAAAAATACATAAAAAACCACCAAAAAATAAAACCCTCTTTTTTTGATCTTTGCAAATGGTAAAAAAAATAACATGGGCCTTTAACTTCACAGATTAACAAACAGAAAGAAGACATGGACAGGAGAAAGCCGGAGACCCTGGCCCTCAAGGTTTGCATTTAGGTGGTTTACGTGTTGTTGTGTTTTCTCCTTCTCTCTGTCTCACTGAGGGGTCCATATGGACTTCTGTCCTCCCTCCGGGAGGCGCCAGCTGTGGCTGGGGGCGGGGCGCTGCAGGTGGACAGCAGGGAGCCTTGCAGAGGGGCCCTAGGCTGGTGCTCCTGCTCGGACTTCCTGCATCCCGGCTGCAAGCTCACCTCTCTCCTCCAAGGCCCCACCGATGGGGTCAGGTGGGCAGGGCCTGCGGGGTCACACGCAGCTCCGTGGCCCCTTGGGGCAGCCCCAGCCCCAACACCCGGGGAGGGAAGGCATGGGGGCGCGAATGCAGGGTTTAGGCTGAGAGTTAACGATGCTGCTGTTCTTGTGTGTGTGCGCGTGCCAGGGCCCGCGCTCAGCCAAGGGAAAGGAGACCTTTGTGCCCACGTGGTCCACGCTGCAGCCGCCCACAGCGGCCGCCACTGCCACCACTGCCGCCACCGCCACTGCCGCCGCCACCACGGAGCTGGAGTCAGTCAAGGCGCAGGCGGCCTCCGTCAGCGTGTCGGGTAAGAGGAAGAAAGCCAAGTCGGCCAAGAGGTTGTCCAAGGAGGCGCGCCCCGTGGTAAGCACTGCCCGGCCTCGCCTGCCCACGGCCCTTCCCACTCCCCCCAGAAGCTGCACGGCCGGCCGCTCTCTCTCCACGCACCTGAGCCCACATCCCAGCTTGCCGGCCCTTCGCTTGTCCAGTGGGATACCCACCTTCCCTGGCCAGCCAGCGTGGCGCTTGGCTTCGGCCCTGAGCAGGTGTCTGATTAGAACAGCGTCTGCCGACTTTACCACGGCCGCCCAGTGTCCAGCAGAGCGCTGGGCACGCAGGTGTGCGCGCAGTCCGCGCGTGCCGGGCATGCGCAGGTGCATCCTACACCGCCGCCGCCGCCCTCCGTAGCCACCTTGTGCCGCACAGGCGTAGTGAGACCGGAGGCTGCGCGGAGCACCGGCTGGGCTCAGGGTGGGCCAGTGCGGGACTGCAGCGAGGCACCCAGTCCTGGACCCAGCCCTGCCTCCCGCATAGAGAAGAATGTGCTCCGCCCCACCCCCTAGCTGGTTGTGGAAAATGCGCATTTAAAAAGAAAAAGAAACAACGCATTAATTTCAAAAAGGTGTTTTGCACCAAAGTTCACTTACTTTTAATTCTGACTCTCTGAGGCCCCTCCTGTGGCTGATGCAAAGCCACGGAAATTCTGTCCAGGTGGACTTGGAGTTCTCTGTACTCTTTGGTCCTATCTCTAGAGGTTCCCACGTTCTGCCTTCTTCCCCCACAGCAGGTGCAACCTGCCGCTTTATCTCTTTATTTAGGAAGCAGAGAGATGCATAGAAAGACAGAGACAGGTGGGGAGAGAGATCTTCCATAGAAAGACAGAGACAGACGGGGAGAGAGATCTTCCATAAAAAGACAGGGACAGACGGGGAGAGAGATCTTTCGTCCACTCCCCAAAGCCCCTCAGAGGCCAGGCCTGAGCCAGGGCTCCAACCCGGGTCAAGAATTCGATGGGTCTCCCAAGTAGGTGGCCCCAGGCCCCAAGTGCCTAGGCTGCTGCTGCTGGCTCCGGGGGTGCATCAGCAGGATGGAGGAGTGGGAGCAGAGGTGGGTGTGGAAGGCAGAGAATTCGCCTCCTTAGTGTGTGGGGTGTGGGGGTGTGCACACCCATGGTCCGGGAGGTGGGCGGGAAGGGCGCAGGCCTGGCGCGTGGGTGAGGTGGTTTCTGCGCACGTCACTCAGGTGGAAGGAGGGTTCTCCCCGAGCAGCCCCACTCTGCAGAAACTGGGAGCTGAGCCCTCCTGGAAACCAGGGTAGTTCCCCCAGGAAGAGAGCGACACTGGGCCGGGGAGTTTGTTCAAGACTGGCTAGCCACTGTGTTCCAAAGTCAGGTGTTTGTGACCCAGATCTTGGCAAGTATTTCTTACTGGCCTGCAAAACACACACACACACACACACACACACACTCACACTCACGGAGACGCACAAACTCATACACACAGAGACACACACCCACATACCACACACAGTCACACACACTCACACACACACACATACAGTCCCACACACACTCTCACACTCACAGAGACACACAAACTCATACACACAGAGACACACACCCACATACCACACACAGTCACACATACTCACACAGTCACACACTCACACTCTCACAATGCAGTCACTCACTTGCACACACACAGACACACACAGTCATACACACACTTGCACACACACAGACACATAGTCATACAAACACCCTGGCCAGTGTATACAGTGTTACCCACCACCCTGGGTGGGGAGCCCAGCTGCCCGGGGGGGAGGGGGACGGGGTGGGGGTCTTGGACCCACTGGGCCCGAGGTCCCCTTCCGGAAGACTGACTCAGTCACGTTTCAGGGGGCTGGGGTCCGGGCTCTGAGGTGACGGCTGGAGGGATGGCAGAGGTGGGTCAGCGACTGGGGCAGAGCAGCTGAGCCGGCCACGCGGAGGTCCCAGCAGCAGGGGGCAGCTACAGCAGAAGGCGGCAGCCCCCGCGCCCTCCGTGTGCAGACAGGAGCTGGGCCAGAGCCGGGTCCTGCCCCTCCCTCCCGCACTCACCTCCCATGGGGAATGCACCATGGAGGACAGACCAAGGCCGCCGGGGCCCCCAGAAGGTGTTATCTCAGTGGGCTCCCCTCAGAGCCCACAGTCTTCCCTTCTCACTGTACTGATTGCTTTCGGGATGTTTCCAAAGCTTAACAGTGGGGAGATTCTGAAGTTAATGTGTAACAGGAAGTAAAAACCCCCGGACCGAGGGGGAAGGGGTGATGACGTAACCTGGTGTTTACATCTTCCTATTAATGGGCTCCGCTTTAAAGTGCAAGGCGTCCTCGTCCTCGGTCCACTGTCCCCTTCCCCGCCCGTGCTCGGTGTGTCGCCTTCACGTGCACTCTGTGTATGCGAACCCGTGGTGATTTTCCCGCTGCACTTTCACACAGCTCTCTGGAGGCAGCCGGCCCTCTTCAAGTTCGTCTTTAAGGCTCTGATAATATCTACCACGTGCAGGTGACCCAATGGGGAGCTTTCACTGGGAGCCGATGCAGGCCCATTTTACATCAGTCATTGAGCTGATCTCATTAATCACACTTATTTTCTGAAATCTGTGTCATTCGGTGGGAACCGCACACATGCTGCCCACAGCCCTGCACGCAGCGACAAACCGAGTGTTTGGCCAGTCTCAGAAACCCGATATGAAGCCCTGCCGTCGGAGTGCTATTCCTGAGAGATTTCACAACATAAAAATGTCTGCCGGCACAGCCCTGTTGTGTAAAGTTTATTTTCCGATATCTGTGAACATTTCAAACATCACGGCTGCACAGATCAAGGTTAAATTGGATTCCAGGGTCTCCTCCCCCTGCCCAAGTAATTAGTGCATTAAGGTTGCACCCAGTAAATGTGGCGCTTCCGCGGGGTAACGTGCTGTGTGCTGACGGAACATATGGTGGGTGCTGGGATCCGCAGACAGCCCCGGCCCCTCCGTGTGGGAAGTGGGGCACGGGACGGAGTCCGTCGTGTGCTCCTGCTTGGAGTCCTCGCAGCACGACACAACAGGCACAGAGAAAAGGCTAAAAACTCTAGAGCATTTTTTTTTTCTCTTTAACATTCGAGAATTGTTAGGTGAAATACTTTTGCATTCCTTTCTGCAATGAGGACCCTAATCATGCTGCCAGCTAGGAATTTTAAAAAATGACTATTACGAGATGGGGAATGATGACTATAGGTATGGGGTATTTATAGGCTGGCTGAAGGGCAGGAAAAAAATTCTTTCTTTCTGAAATGTGTTGTTCTGCCTCCATGTGAGGGTACTTCAGAAAGTTCATGGAGAATGGAATGAAAAAGGAAGTTTATTTTGGTGCAAAAAAAGAAGTTTTGAAATCCTTAGGTAGTTTTTCCCTAATATGCATTTTCCACAAACTTTTGAAGACCCCTGCATGCACATGGATTTCAAAAGGTTTTGGCATCCACAATGACCTTTTCATTCCATTCTCCACCAACTTCATTTTTTTAAAGATTTATTTTTATTTATTTGAAAGACAGAGTTACAGAGAGAGGTAGAGAGAGAGAGAGAGAGGTCTTCTAGCTGCTGGTTCACTCCCCAGATGGAGCTATGCTGATCCGAAGCCAGGAGCTTCTTCCGGGTCTCTCTCGGGTGAGGGGGAGTACACATGGGCCATCTTCTACTGCTGTCCCAGGCCATAGCAGAGAGCTGGATCGGAAAAGGGGCAGCGGGACTAGAACCGGTGCCCATATGGGATGCTGGCACTTCAGGCCAGGGCTTTAACCCGCTGCGCCACAGCGCTGGCCCCATCTCCATGAACTTTAAACAATACCCTTATACAACCCATCTGTGTGGTTTAGTTGCACGTGAGGTTTAAAATAAACTTGATCAGAGAAGGGAACCTCGTGAGCTGTTAGTTGTTCCATTGTCCAGTTTTTGCTGCCTTCGGCTTGGTCAGCAGCTCTGCAGACCAACCTGGGGGGGTGGTCTTGTGCCACTCATGCCTGGAGCAGCACTGGGTGGGGGGTGAGCCCGAGGCAGGATGGTTCTGCCCGCGTGCATGGCTTTCAGAGGCTGCCAGGGGATAGTTACCGTATTTTCATAGATTACGTCGATACAACAGGGCCATCCTTATGACATTGGATCTTTGTTTTGTAACACAGGTAACTTTAAAATGTAGAGATAATTTGAAATTGTACAAAAATCACTTATTCTAGAATCAAATTTTGCATTTACCACCAAAATGAATTCATCTGAAAGATCTGCTTTCAGAGAACGAAACTGAAACCCTGAGTCGTGTCGTACTGAAAATGCAGCCGCACGGGGACTGTGGCCTCTCACATTACTTTGTTATTCTGGGTGGTTCGATAGCTTAAAATTCTCAGTATATTTGGAATCAAAGATTTCCTAATGGAAATAATATTCAATTTTTCATTGCACAAAAGACAAAAATGTTGTTTGTTAAAATTCACTGGAGAGGTTTTGTGCTTCTTCTTTTCCGGTTTATTCTGTGGGGCACAGTTGGTTGGTTGGATGTGGAGTTCACAGTTTGCCAGTGAAACTTCAGTGAGGATCAGGGTTGTGCTGTGGGGGTTAGGGATGGGCAGGTCTGGGGTGTGGGTAACTTCCTGCTGTCCTCAGGCACGGGGCAAGGTGCTCATTTCTGTCCATACATGGTGGTGACAGAGTGTCCACCCTGGTGCCGAGGAACCCATGGGCCAGCGTCTCTCCCTGTGTGCTGTATCTCGTTCACCTGGCCGTCAGCCTTGGGTCTCTCTGTCCTGTTCCCACTGGGAGCCGAGGCTAGCCCTGAGTGCCAGGCACTTCGCTTTGAGTCCTGATGCCACACAGACACAGTTCTTTGGCGTAAGACCGAGACTTCCCCTGCTGCCACTCATCCTGCCTGCATTGTTCCTCCCTGATGCCGTCTGGTGCCGCGGAGCCACTGCACGTCCATGCTTGCCCGCGTCCAGCCAGAGGGTCTGCCCCCCTGGGCCACTGACGGTGGGCTGCCAGCCACCCTCTTTGCACCAGGCTCTCCCAACG